AGGGGCTGCTTTATAATTCCCAAGACCTGTCTGGTGAGCAGATAAAAACTCATAAAATCTCTGTTCAGTGTATGCTGCATTTTGGTCATAAAACAAGCCAGCTGTTCTGGCTCCCGGAATTTCAGTTCCGCCTTCAGTACCTCTTTCATTACATGGCTGAACCATAATGAAATCCACGGAAAAAAGGAATAGTGCATTTTCCGCTGTAGCTGCCATATGGCCTTATTGCTAATTTTTAATTAGCTGAGATGGTTGCATAGACAATTTATTTGGAGTACGGAAGGAGACTGAGAGCTGGCTGAGGAGTGGAGCTATTCTGGTGTCTATATAGAGGCACAGTGCCTTTTTTTACTGTCTTTAAATAGAAAAATGTGTAATCCTCAGAAAGTGTCTTTCCAGTAGGTCTGTTTGGCAGATGTGTGCATGTGTGTTATTAAACGGATGCAGACACTTCTGTCATTTTAAAATAGAAGTGTTGCTTGCTCTCTGACTTGCCGAGTCCCGCTGATGGGTTTAGAGGCTTTGTAAAACTCCCAGGATTTTATTCAGAAACAGTAGAATGGGAGATAGTACCAGGGCATCCAGGCTTGCACTTTCTGCTTAACATTCCTCCTCAGGAATAGGGTTATGAAATTGTCCCTCGGGATTACTGTTTGCCTTCTCGCCTGTGTATGGCTCCCAGCGTTGTTACGGTGAATTGGCTCTGCTGGAAAATGAGGCAGGCAGCAAGAATGCCAACAGATGTGTCTGGGATCTGCACTGAATTTGGTCTGACAGGGATCTTGACTCTCTAACTAGGTCATTAAGTAGGGGTGTGTAAGGGAGCCCTATCCCTGGGAAAGTGGATTTTAATTGGGTGCAGGCTGCCTTGCTCCAGTAGTCCTGCTGTGCCAGGAGCAAGCCAGATCTGCTCCCGTCTGCTGCACAGTCTGATGGGGTTTGCTTTGCGTGCGGAGGGGAGAAGCTGTCGTGACTGACCGCATCTAACGTGGCAACAGTCCAGCTTCAAGCTGGACCTTGGCAGGTCCTTCCGAGCAACATCCCTCTGATTCCGTGGAGCTGGGCTTTAGAGGGTCCCTCGTCAGGGAGAGAGACAGGCGGTAACGGGCAGGGAAGAGGGACTGGCCGCTCTGTTGTAAGGTTGAAGGCGAAACGTAGATACTTGTTTCCATGATGTGTCTGGGATAACCGAGTGCTTGTGGGTTTTTCCTCTGACTGCTCACATAGATTCAGACTAATAGTTTCTCTCTCTGCCACTTACGATGTGCTTAATTAGACTGCTGTCTTGAAAATGCCCACTTTTACTGCAGCTCTGCAGCTGTGGCTGCATTAACCCAGTGAGGGGCCATAGTTTAAATCAGCACCTCGGATCCTCAGCAGCATTTCGCTTCGTATCATTTAGTTTAAAAAAACCTAAACTGTGGTGGCTGTTGCTTTGCTGACATCAGTAGTACGAGCAATAGGAAGGCAAGGGAGCTGTGCTTGACCAAGCCCTGACTCTGACATTTAAAGTGTTTGTATGTTTTGTACTCTCTTTCCAGCTGTGTATTTCTGATCCCTTAATTCCTGTCATTTGCACGTTAACAAACAGATCAAAGGTACCAATATTTACCAAGCTAGTCCAGCACCTGCTAAAAAGCTTTTCTCCGTCAGCTCTTCAACCAGCAGAGAACATGGGTGCATTTTCTTTTCTGTGGACAAACTGGTAAAACAAATTGTAATTTTTAGTGAGTGACTTTTCCTCCCGTGAATGGCATTACATGCAGATGCCCAGAATCTTGGTGGAAGGCATCCCTGCCGGGTTCCTTCATTTGCTAAATCAATGTGCTGCTGATCCCGTGGTTGGTGAGAGGTTTCTCCAAGAATGCAAACACACTTTGAAACTGTCCGAACTGGGGAATTCTGCTTTTGTGCCAAATGCACGGGAGAGGGGCACTGTTTTTCAGGGAGGCTGAGTAATTTGGTGTGTCGCAGCACAGCCGGCCAGAGGATTCCGTGGAGCTGTAGTGCGAGTGTGAATGATCTCCCACCTATTACATTGGAAGAGTGAAAACAGAGCAACTAATCCCCGTGCAAGGAAAGGGGGAAAAGACGCTCATGGCTGCCCATGGCGCTGCCCCTGTGTTATGTGATCTGTCTGTCTCGTGGTCTGTCCCGGGTTGTGTCCTGTTTAACATCTTCATCAGTGACCTGGGGGAGGTGATGGGGTTGAAACCAATTGCCTCAGCAGTAAAGTTTTTTCACTGTTCAGCAGGTATTCTTCATGAGCAGCTCTGCGGTCACCCTGGGGATTCTCCACCACGAGGGCTCCCGAGGATTAGCAAGGGACATCAGTTCCCACACACAAATCATACCTATTCATCAGATTTCCCGGAAAGGGGTGTCTTATGATAATGAGCTCCCAGAATTCATTTACATAGCCCGAGCAGGCGCAGTGAAAATAGAGGGAGGGTCTTTGGAGGCGGAGGGCAGAAGTAAGCAGTCTTCCTCCCGGCGGTCGCCAGCGGACCCTCTCCCCAGAGCAGGCGCTGTGCAGTGCCGTCCAGGCGCCTCCTTCCGAAACCAGCAGAAGCACCCTCCCTGGAACAGGCTCTCTGTGTCCTTCAGTTCGAGTGCCCCTTCTCTTAGTTTGCCCGTTCTAGGAGTTGCCCGAGTGCCCACTGAAGGCCTTGAGTCTGCTCCCAGTGATTGCCGTAGGGAGTGTTGTCTGACCTTGTCTAAGCAGAGAAAGAGGCCTGGGGAAACACCTGAGGAGTCCTTGAGGAACAGGTGAAGCAAAACACAAGCAAAGCTTTCAGACATCACAGTTTAGTCTTAATAATTGTCAGAAATTCATTTGTTTGAGCCCTTTCATTCCCTCTCAGGGTGCACACTTGTACAATTTGCCAACGACACCAACCGGGGTGACCAGCTGATGCTCTGAGGGCAGGGCTGCTGGTGAGTGAGATATCACAGACAGGAGAAACAGGCTGAGAGGGACCTTCTGAAACCTGACAAGAACAAATGAAAAGTCCTGCACTGGGGAAAGAAGAGCCCCCTGCTATGAGAGGGGCTGGAGATGGCCTGCCTGGGGGGCAGCTCTGCTGGAAAGGCCCCGGGGGCCCCGGTGGGCTACAGGCTGACCCTGGGCCAGCAGCATGCCACTGCTGCGAAGACCAACAGTATCCTGGGCCAGTGGATTGAGCAAAGTCACTATCCCCCTCTACTCAGCACTCCTTAGATCCCAGGTGATGCACTGCGCCCAGTTTGGGGCTCCTCAGTACAGGGACGACGTGGCCAAGCGGGAGCACCTTCCGCAGTGGGCAGCCCCTCTGTGAGGAGAGCTGAGGGAGCTGCGCTTGTCCAGCCAGTGGAAGAGACTGCTTCAGGGAGATCCTTCTGTCTGCTGGTACTGTGAGGAGATCACTGAGAAGCTGGAGGCAGGTTCTTCGCCGTTGTGCATAGCAGAGGAGACAGATAACGGGTATAAACTGAAGCGAATAAGGTTCAGTCTGGACAAAGGGAGAAAGCTTTTCGTGCTGGGGACTATGAAGCTGTGGGACGGGATGCCTAGAGAGTTTGTGCAGCCTCTGTTCTTGGAGGCTTTGAGACGTGACATGGTAAAGCCCTCAGCAACCTGGGCGGATCTCAGCTCCTGAGGTCCTTTCCACCCTGAATTATCCAGCCATCTTATGCGGCTCCCTGGCAGCTTAGCGCCTTCAAAGGCTGGAGTAGGGACACGTCTTAAACAGCATGAAGTCTGTGGATTAATGATTTATGAGCATGTGAATACAAGGGTGTGCAGTGGAAGTCTCTTCTCATCAGGGTCCTTTTACTGGGTTTGGACTGAGGTAAGAGTACAATGTTTTTTGGTTTTTTTTACCTGTTAAAGCTTTCAGTGAGGAGGAAAGCACGAATTCCCCTGGGCTGCTGCTCTGGCTGCTTCTGTAGTGAGGGTGAGTTGGAGAGGCTGTGTAGTTAGAAAACTTTTGGGACTGAGCAGTAGCTGAGCTTGAAAGTCTTTAAGATGTCTAGTCCCACTGAAACACCACCTTGTCCAGCTCATAGGAGCTGCTGTTATCAGTGTGAAGGCTTTACAAGAGACCACAGAATGCTAGAACTGCAAACTGTGTAAAACTGGTGTGCTGACTGAGTAAACAAATAACAACAACTGCAGGTCTCTTTGGTATTTGGTGAAATGTGACACTGGCTAGTGCTTTGGACTTGATTTGATTCTTGGACTGGCTGTTGTTTCCTGTGTTTGGGAGACTGGACTGGACTCCGCTCTTTCTACATGGTCTTCGGCAGTTTCATTAGAACCTGGTGGTGTGTATTCGTTACTTAAATGTGGCAGAGTAAATATCTGAATGCTTTTATGGCAGCTGCTGTCTTCGCTGTACCTTCCCCTTGGACTGGCTTTTATCTGACCGTGGGCTCTGACTTCCAGACTTCCTTTTACTGTGAGGTCTGTAGTGCTTATCACTGAAGTGTTTCTCTTGGCAGGCTCCTCTGGTGCTCAGAGCAACAACTAAAATAGTTTTCCACATATGACTTGTCTGGAAACCATTGAGAAAACTTCTTTGTATTTTGCAGTTTCCATAGCGTCATTCTCAGTACCCTGCTCTGCTGCCCTGATGTGGGTAGGACACAGGGAAGGTAGAGCTGGGCCTCAGCAACCCTCAGTATTTTGTACTCTGAAAACTGCGGGTTGAGTGTTTAGGTTAAAGCTTCTTGTCTGGGGCACTGCCTGTCCCTGTGTTGAACTGAAAACTAGCATTTACTAGCAAACCTTGTCTTGCAAGTATCGTTGCTAAAAATGAGTGTTTTTCAGAGTTTTCCTTGTCTTTCTGGGTGATATTTGGGCAACTCCACTGATTAGGCATATGGACTTTCTGTGGTTTGCAGGATCATTTATCTCGGCTTATTCTTCCTGTAGAATCATGTTGCACAAGCAAAAAAAGGAGCTTTTTTTGAATTGCAAGTCATAGCTGTAGCCTCCTTTCCGTCTGAGTGGTTTGTTTGTTGAGCTCTCTACTACCAACTGGAGAAGACGGTGCCTTTCTGTTACTTGTGGTGCTCACCTGCCATCGCTGCCTTCAGAAGTGAGTCTGTTACTCTCTGCTTCTCTTGACGTGTTCAGAAGAACAAACAACATCGAATGTTTTCATGTTTGCCCAGGAGACTGCTTGGGGTGGTGGTTGTTAAGGTCTTTGGGAAGGGGGGCAAAGGATAGAGGGAAAGTAGGAAGGTGAATCGAGGAATGCTGCTGGGGCAGTTAACTAGGGGCGTTCATTCGGGTACCTACAAATGAAGTGTCAAACCATGGGAGGGAGGTGGAAAGAAGTTGGCCGAGGGATGGAAACCAGCTGGGTTGTAAAACGTGTCACCGTGAGCCGTGGTAGAGTCTTTTTTGATGCAGAGTGTTCTGCTTGATAGAGTTTGCACGGCTAGGTTGGGATGTGGGATCAGAGACAGAGCTCATAGGAGGCAGTGAACTGAAGTGCTGTTTTCTCCCAGATTTCTTTATGATGCAGAAGACAAGAATTGAAGGAATGGACTAGGCACCTCTATTCCAGAGTAATGCTGTTACCTCTGCTTCTGACAGCTTCTCTCCTTAGTGATGTGCTTTGGCTGGACCCATCAGACACGGATACCTTAAGTAGGGAGTGATTGTGATTTCTGGAGTTGCTTTTTGGTTAAAAGAGTCTTGTTGGTGCTTGGCACCTTGCAGAAATCAACCTGTTTCGGTGGGGATCTCAGGACAGAATTCCTAGACTGTGAACGTGCTGTTCCCTACCTGCTTGTGCCCATCTGCTTTGGTCGTGGGAGCACACAGAAGCCTTGGAGAGCCCTAAGCACTACGTGGTAAAATATGGTATTTCATGCAGAATTGATGACAGTAAATTTAAAATGCCTTGTAGGTTCTCTACTGGGGGTGCATACAGGCCAGATGTCTCCTCCAGTCCTTTCCTCTTGATACCAGACTTTTTCTTTCCCTCTGTTCTCATCGGGCGAATTTGACTCCACATCCTTCTTTCAGGTGGAAGTTGTCCTGGTGCTCATGGGTTATGCTTGGGAGAGTGGAATCCTCCACCACTGCTTCGGGGGAAGAAATGACCTTTTGAATGTTCTGATGGAATTGGTACTGGGGCGGCCTGAGAAAGTACACTGTCCCCATTTTCAAGTAGAACTTGAGTGTAGCTTTCCCTCGTTGCTTTTACTATCCTCCCAAGCTGCAGATACTGCCTGTTGTGTTTGAGGCATCAGCCTGGCTTTTCCTTGTCAAAAAACTCTGGGATTGAAGCCACCTGTTTACAAGTTCAGGGCAGAGCAAGCACCAAAGGTACGGCCAGTTCATGTCCTGGAGTATAAAAGCTGTGTTGTTGCGGTGTGTGTTATGTTAGTGCTTAGGATTGCTGGGGAAGGGGTAGGTATTTTAGAGAGTATTTTAATTTTGCCTTAGAAATAAAATACATGCTTGAGGGCTTGGGATCCTCTCCTTACTCCAAACATTTTCCCATTCATTAACAAGGCCGTGCAAAAGCTCTTTCAAGAGGCAGGAAAGTCTCATGTCCATGAACTGAATGGATACACCAGGTGCTGGTTCCAGGCCTCAGAGAGCTGCTTAAAAATACGCTTACACCTCTCGGGCATGAGGAAAGGTGATTTAAAAAATGTGCCGTTTTCAAAACTGTGGGATTTCTGTTGTAAGGTCGATGCAGGGAGGCTGAAGCAGAGCTGGCTAGGTCAGTATCTACTGGGTGACTTTTTCTATACTTGAAAACCTCACCTTTTTAGGTGTAATACTTTAAAACACCATTCTTGTCCACACTCTTATTTCTGCTGGGTCGGGATTCTTTTTGTTTGGGTTGTTTGTTTGGGTTTTTTGGCCAGTATTAGCGTTTGTGTGTCTATACCATGAAAATGAACTTTTTTTTTTCCTTTCTTACCTGTTTACTTTTCAGGCTTACTGCACACTGTGTCCGCACTCTGTGCCTTAATGTGGCTTCTGCCACCACTAGTGCCAGCAGAAGGGACGGGTGGGTGGCAGCTGGGGGTGAGGTCTGGGGTGCCCCTTTGCTGGCAGTGTGATGAAGACACAACTGTGACTTAGGGCAGTAACGAAAGGAATGAGAAACAGGGACTTACAGCAAAACAACGAATCCCAAGTTTGACTTCTTTTTAGTTCCATAGCTCTCTGGATGCTTCTGCCAGTCTGCAGCTTGCTTTGCTGCCTTGCAGAACCTATTTCAAAGGATTCCTGGTTAAGTATTTTTACTAAGTGGGCGTTAGGCCTGTTTCATGAGCTGGACAGGAGGAGACCATAGCAGCTGGGGAGCTAAATGCTGAGGTGAAGTCTGCTCTGGGCATTCGGTAGGTGTGAGGCTTGAATGGGGATGGCAGGACTGCTGGAAAGAAGAGCCCGCTGTTAGTAACGATGGCTCTGTGTGGGTACCGAGGGCTTACCTTGGCTTTTCCCCCCGTCTGTCCGTGCCCAGGCAGCCGTGGGGCAGCTCTGCCTCTGGGAGTTGCTACCGGAGCCAGATGAATACCGGAGGGGGGATCTGTTCCGTTATCCCTGCAGTCCGGGACAGTCAGTCCTGCTTGGCTGGCTGTTGTGTTGTCCGTGGCTGACGCTGAGGTGGTGGCTGAGGACAGGACCCTCCTCCTCCTCTCCCCAGCGTGGCCAGCCTGAGCTGAACACTGGCTCAGGGCACAGCAGCTCGCGTTTTGCAGGGCTCAGCTTTCTTGCTGGAGTAAAAGGGGCCACGCAGCTGGCTGAAGATCGGTCTGCTTAGTAACTAGAGATTCTCGTTTTGTCCGATTTGGTGCTCGGTCGCCAGGGAAGGTGAAGGCTGCTGCGGGCTGTTCAGCGCTCCCCTCTCAGGCGGCTCCATCTCTGCCTGTTCCTGTTCTGCCTCAGCAAAAGCCTTCCTCTTCTCTTTTTTGCACGTGCAGGGCTTGGCCAGGGCAGCTGTACCCATCTTGATATTACCTATCTCAACGCAGGTGTCACCCATGGAAAAATGCAAATTCTTTTTTCACCCTCCCCCTGCCCCCAACACCTCAATAGAAAAATAAGAACTGTGGCGGGTATAAATCTGAAAGCACTATTTCACCCTCACAAGCAAAGCAAAGCCCCAGTTTCTCATAAGCGTTTCCAGCCGGCTGAAGTATTGGCTGTACTGCTGCCCTGCTAGATGTGTGTTTTACCCCTGGCAAAAATAAGGGGCAGGTCTTTGTTGGGGCTGCGGGAGTTTAACACACCCACATGAGCCGGCATGGCCTGCTCTTCGCAACTAAACCAAAGGTGTTATTACAGCCCTTTCCGAAAAGTTGCCTTTAGCTTCACTTTTCCCTTTTTGTCGGTCTTTCTGTTTCTTTCAGTGAGACAGCCTGGCCATTGAGTGCCTTGTCTGCCTACTGAGGCATATAAATAATTTCCTTTATTACCACAGTTCTGCTTTGAACGCAGTCCCTTGATACAGTGCCTTTATGTGGATTCGATCAAGTCTTTGCCTTTGATCTGCCTGGGATTAATTCTCTATTATAATTAATGGAGGCTTTGTCTTTCTCCTGCAGTCTCTATCAAAAGATCTCAGAGCCTTTTGTAAATGTTAAGCAATTAGCAATGCAGTAGCAGACTGGCGAGTTGTGTCTGTGGTTTGTCTCTAGAAAAGAGACAAAGACCCTTAGTGTATCAGCATGCACAGTGTTTGGGGCTGGTTTGGAAATCTTTCAGTACGACAGTTTTCCTTGGAAAATGCTAGTTTTTGTAAAACATTTTCTTTTTTTAAATGCTCCTAGAAGGCTTACACTTCTGAAGACAAGTTTTCATGAAGGCGTTTTAGGCGTTGAGTGGAAATTCTGTGTGTGCACGGCTGCGTGTGTTGGTCTGTGACAGGCAAACAGAGGAGCAGCTTGAGAGAGACACTGCAGGGTCTTTACTGAAATAAAGAAATTGCCTCAGCAGTAAAGTTTTTTCACTGTTCAGCAGGTATTCTTCATGAGCAGCTCTGCGGTCACCCTGGGGATTCTCCACCACGAGGGCTCCCGAGGATTAGCAAGGGACATCAGTTCCCACACACAAATCATACCTATTCATCAGATTTCCCGGAAAGGGGTGTCTTATGATAATGAGCTCCCAGAATTCATTTACATAGCCCGAGCAGGCGCAGTGAAAATAGAGGGAGGGTCTTTGGAGGCGGAGGGCAGAAGTAAGCAGTCTTCCTCCCGGCGGTCGCCAGCGGACCCTCTCCCCAGAGCAGGCGCTGTGCAGTGCCGTCCAGGCGCCTCCTTCCGAAACCAGCAGAAGCACCCTCCCTGGAACAGGCTCTCTGTGTCCTTCAGTTCGAGTGCCCCTTCTCTTAGTTTGCCCGTTCTAGGAGTTGCCCGAGTGCCCACTGAAGGCCTTGAGTCTGCTCCCAGTGATTGCCGTAGGGAGTGTTGTCTGACCTTGTCTAAGCAGAGAAAGAGGCCTGGGGAAACACCTGAGGAGTCCTTGAGGAACAGGTGAAGCAAAACACAAGCAAAGCTTTCAGACTTCACAGTTTAGTCAGTTAATTGTCAGAATTTTATTTCTTTGAGCCCTTTCATTACCCACCAGGGACCTGTTGCCTTTTGGTCTGACGCTTCCCGCGGGAAGCGGGACCTCCAGCGGATGGTTGGTCTTTTCTGCCAGGGTGGGCTGCTTCGTCCGGAGGAGTCGTCCTGTGGCTGTGTCTCACCTGAGATGTGAGTGAGGGTCGTGTCACTGGTCTGAATGGGTAGAAAGGGTCTGGAATATGGACTTTGGATTTTGCACGTGATTATCTGAACTCTTAGGATATGACTTGCAGGCAGGTGAGGCACAAAAGTGCAGTTGGTCATGGTTTTGCCTCTGGGGAGAGCACAGAAACTGGGGAGGCAGCCAGAGACTGGGCGCAGGCAGAGCCCCCCGGCAGGTGGAGTTACCTGGTCGCTGCACGTTCCCGGCTGTGTGCTGCTCTGAGCAAAGAGGGTGACAGAGGTCCTTGAACAAACCGTCTGTAGTGGAGCCAAGGGTAGCAAAGCAGGCTGGTAGCTGCTGAAGTTAGGGTTTCATCACGACATGGAAGTACCT